CCACAAACGCTTTGCAGTATACATTGCTTTGCCATGTTGCTGAAGATCAATTACATTTCTATACATATTAAAAGAAGTGTGGATGAATGGCAATCCATTATCCAGCATTGTATTTACAAGGGAGGCAGCCTTAGGCAAGTCCCTATTATTTTGGACTCAGCTGGATAACACCGGCCTTACCGGCTGCCAAGATTACTGAGAAAGTGGGGGCATGGGAAGAGCTTTGAAGGGCCATAGATCAGAGGTGGAGAACATGCTTTGCATGCCGAAGGTTCCAGATTTAAACCCCCACCCTCCGCCTCGGCTTCTCCAGATACAGCAAGGAAAAACTCCCGTAAAAAGCTCACACATAACCAGCCCAGAATTATAAAGCATAATAAAAACAGTCCGCAATTATGCAGTCCAATTAAAACCAATCTATAAAACCAGCAATGGTAAGATGAATCTTCAGAGGCCATTTGAACATCATACAGTAGAGGCTTGTCTTATCGCACATGGGATTGCACCCCACAAATATGAGGCCACTGTTTAAAAGTCCCTGTTTTGCAGGCCATTGGAAAGATTGCTTATTGCCCTGTTTACCTTCAGTGTAATGTTGTCATCAGCTTGCACACAAAACACCAAATACATTTTATCCAGGTTCATGTACAAAGTGAGTTTCAAAACAGAGAAGTGACATGGGTTGATTGTATAAAGCAAAAATGTCAAGTATTCATACAAACCCCAAACAGGAAAATTATTGACAGTAAAAAAGGACTGTTAGACACCTTATTATTTGTGTAGGAGTTTTAATTACAACATTCTTTGCTAGATTTTCTGCTAAAAATAACTCTCTTTAACAGCTTCCAAGCGTGCCAACATATTGCATGAATTCTAACACTAACTGTGTTTCCCTGATAGATATTTATGTCAGCAATGAATACAAGATTTTTGCTGGGTCTCAGAGAAGAGTCCACTATTCTATGGTAACAATTCCTGTCACCCCTGAGGACTGCCCATCCCGGCTGAGGCTGGCCAGTCAGTCTACGCTGATGGACGAAGGCTCTCCAGATTTTCAGACAGGAATCTATCCTGGCCCTACATAAGAGATGCTGGAAATGTTCTGCCCCTGATATTGTCATGGACTGGTTGGACGCAAAGGAATGGTGGGAGAAACTAGCTAGGGAGCCATGAAGGGAAGAAGACTCAGAACCCAGGGAGTGGTGGTGGGACAACAATGAATGGTCAAACAGAGAAGAAGGAAGAAGGGAGAAGGGAGAAGAAGAAGAGGAGGAGGAAGGGGTGTTGGAAGCTAAAGAGTGCAATTCTTGAGAGCATGGATTGTTTGTGGCAAAAGGTATTGTCCGGGTGCTGTGATATCATCAAAATGGGTTAGGAGATACAGTACAATTAGTGGACCCTAGTTAGTCATGCCCATTAATGCCAATGGGTCTACTCTGAGCCTGACTAACATTGGATACAAGCCAATGAGCCTGTTGTCACAATGCTTCAATTGTTTTCCAGGGATTGATAGAATGGACATCACTAGTGAGCAACACTGAGATTGGGGAGCAGTTGGTGTTTCCGGGCATGCTGTCGGCACTGATGCCTTCACTGCTGCATTAAACCATTTCAACTGCTGTTGGCTGAAGGAAGCATATAGTGGTACCTCGGGTTACATATGCTTCAGGTTACATACACTTCAGGTTACAGACTCCGCTAACCCAGAAATAGTGCTTCAGGTTAAGAACTTTGCTTCAGGATAAGAACAGAAATTGGGCTCTGGCGGCGCGGCGGCAGCAGGAGGCCCCATTAGCTAAAGTGGTGCTTCAGGTTAAGAACAGTTTCAGGTTAAGTACGGACCTCAGGAACGAATTAAGTACTTAACCCGAGGTACCACTGTTAAGTATGTCGGGCTCACGTTAGCAGGATCATAGGACCAGCGCATGAGACACCTACCATCACCAAAGAGATGAGCCACAAGTTTTGTCAATGCCACTTTCAAGCTGTGTTCCATGAGCCTTGCTGCTTCCATGGTGTGTGTCTCTTGCTTGTGAGGTGTGCGGTGGCCTTGTTCAAACAAGCAGAAGCTTTCTCCACCACCCACATTGCTGAATAGCTGTTCAAAAAAAGAAAAAGGAAAGAATGAAAACAATCTCAGCGTCGGTAAAGTCCTTTCTGAATATTCAAAGCACTTTGCATATTTTATATGGGTTATCTTTACAAACTGACCTGTGAAGTTAAGGTCGAGCATTTTCACTTTAGAGACTTTAAATATGAATTGCTGTTGCATTTCACAGACTTTCATGCCGCAGTGAGTTCATTCCCACTCAAGTCTCATTCCAGCAAGTTCATTCCAAGACAAGTGTTGTTCGAATTGAAGGCTTCCCAGTTCACACTCTTAGCAACTGTCCCTCAACCTCTGACTGCAGGGGTGGAGAACCTGTGGCCCTCCAGTTGTTTCTAGACTACAACACCCATCATACTTGACAATCAAGCATGCTGGCTGGGGTTGAAGGGAGTTGTATCCCAACAACATCTGGAGTTCCCTAGTCCTGCCTTCAAAGATGCAGAGAAAATCCTGAAAACAACCAGTGTGTGCTTATAATGAATGCTCCTGATAGTGTACAAAACTGCTATAAAAATGCATTAATCCTCACAACCTACCTGCAAGGTAGGCTTCAGAGAAAGTGGGAGAGATAAATATGTGCCCTGGGGCAATCAGGAGCTACAGAGTTGAGCAGTGATTTGAACCAAGGTATTTACCTCAGTAATTTACCTCAAACCTCTCCCCCCCATGCCTTTGCTTTTCAAAATGCAGTCACTATATGTGCCCCTGTGGTCGCATTCAGGCAGCAGTTTCTTCTTTCAATCTAGCCCTTAAAAGAACAGAGAATGGCTTGGGTTTCCTCACATCACCATTGAAGAAAAACGTGGTTGCCAAGAATTGCCAGAAGGGACAATGTCAGTACCAAAGTCTGGGGATATTTTTTGTGGGTTGGGAGCTTAGGATATTTCATAAGGAGTCAGAATACATTAATATAAGGCTTCCCCTGAAGAGAAATTATGCTGTGGGGGCAGAGTGTAAGAGCATCAGTAATATAATAATTATTATGATGAAGATAAATAATAATAATAATAATAATAATACTACAGTGGTACCTCAGGTTAAGTACTTAATTCGTTCTGGAGGTCCGTTCTTAACCTGAAACTGTTCTTAACCTGAAGCACCACTTTAGCTAATGGGGCCTCCTGCTGCTGCCGCGCCGCCAGAGGCCGATTTCTGTTCTTATCCTGAAGCAAAGTTCTTAACCTGAAGCACTATCTGGGTTAGCGGAGTGTGTAACCTGAAGCGTATGTAACCTGAAGCATATGTAACCGGAGGTACCACTGTAATAATAATTTATTATTTATACCCCTCCAATCTGGCTGGGTTTCCTCAGCCACTCTGGGTGGCTCCCAACAGAATATCATTAATAATAATAATAATAATAATAAAGTGATAAAACATCAAACATTAAAAACTTCCCTAAACAGGACTGCCTTCAGGTGTCTTCTAAAAGTCAGGTAGTTGTTTATTTCCTTGACATCTGGTGGGAGGGCGTTCCACAGGGCATGCGCCACCACGGAGAAGGCCCTCTGTCTGGTTCCCTGTAGCCTCACTTCTCGCAATGAGGGAACCGCCAGAAGGCCCTCGGCGCTGGATCTCAGTGTCCGGACAGAACAATGGGGGTGGAAATGCTACTTCAGGTATACTGGGCTGAGGTCGTTTAAGGCTTTAAAGGTCAGCACCAACACTTTGAATTGTGCTCGGAAACGTACTGGGAGCCAATGTAGGTCTTTCAAGACCTGTGTTATATGGTCTCAGCGACCACTCCCCCAGTCACCAGTCTAGCTGCCACATTCTGGATTAGCTGTAGTTTCCAGGTCATCTTCAAAGGTAGCCCCACCTAGAGCACATTGCAGTAGTCCAAGCAGGAGATAACCAGAGCATGCACCATTCTGGCGAGACTGTCTGTGGGTAGGTAGGGTCTCAGCCTGCGTACCAGATGGAGCTGGTAGACAGCTGCCCTGAACACAGAATTGACCTGCGCTTCCATGGACAGCTGTGATTCCAAAACGACTCCCAGGCTGCGCACCTGGTCCTTCAGGGGCACAGTTAACCCATTCAGGACCAGGGAGTAGCAGTAGTTACTCTGCATTAGCATAACCCACTAATACATTTTTGCCTGAATTAACCTAGCTGATTCCGTTGAAAAGGGGGCCAAGATGACACAGTGCTACCTGCTGATCCTAACTGCTGTTTCCTGATCAGGGGACTTCAAAGACCTATCCAATTAGCTTCTCTCCCTTCTAAATCAAAACTCCTGAGATACAAGCCCAACTGCCTTTCATCCTGCTACAGCAAGCCTGGACATGTCTCTTCTGAGATTGATATGACACACACACACACACACACACACCACCGAATCCTTGTCATTTTCTGAAGCCTTACAGAATCCTGCATGTTATCAGAGTGTGGCGCTACTTCCTATCCTTTTCTATGATCTTGGAGCTTTCCAAGCTATGTTGTGGGACACTTATCAAGGAGAAGATCAACAGCAAATAAGATTCCCTGACAAACAGCTGACCCACAACTGTAGCTCTTCTCCCACAATCTCAGGGGCAGAGGCAGTGAATTCCGTTTTGATGCTTGAGGTGAAGTGGGAAGTGCCACCTTGCCTGCTGCCAGCCCATCGCCTCCGGCCAGCGCTGATTTCCAGCGAGAACTCACAAGATTCTGGCAAGGTATTGCTGGAAATCAGCGCCAATGGTGGCGCCACTTCTCTGGCGGCAGCGGAGTCAGTGGGGCAGGCAGGGTGAATGAGGAGGCGCCGCTTAAGGCAGTGGCTTCACCCTGCCTCATGAGTGGGCTGGTCCTGCTCAGGGGAGTGTTATGCAATGTTATGCACTGCCACACAAAAAAGAGGACACAGGTGTGCCTAATGTTTGCATAGTGCTATAATTTAAACAGAAATATAACAATACATGTCAATGCAGTACGTTTCTGAGCACAATTCAAAGTGTTGGTGCTGACCTTTAAAACCCTAAATAGCCTCGGCCCTGTATACTTGAAGGAGCGTCTCCACCCCCATCGTTCAACCCAGACACTGAGGTTCAGTTCTGAGGGCCTTCTAGCAGTTCCCTCATTGTAAGAAGTGAAGTTACAGGGAACCAGGCAGAGGGCCTTCTTGGTAGTGGCGCCCACTCTGTGGAACACCCTCCCATCAGATGTCAAGGAGATAAGTATACAACCTTTGTCTGAACATCTGAAGGCAGGCCTGTACAGTGGTACCTCGGGTTACATACACTTCAGGTTACATACGCTTCAGGTTACAGACTCCGCTAACCCAGAAATATTACCTCGGGTTAAGAACTTTGCTTCAGGATGAGAACAGAAATCGCGGAGGCCCCATTAGCTAAATTGGTGCTTCAGGTGAGGAACAGTTTCAGGTTAAGAACAGACCTCTGGAACGAATTAAATACTTAACCCAAGGTACCACTGTATAGGGAAGTTTTCTAATGTTTAATGTTTTGTTATGTGTTTATATATGTTGGAAGCCACCCAGAGTGGCTGGGGCAACCTTCACACACAGACTAGTTTCTGCGCACACTCACACGCTGCCGTTTATTCTCCAACCAGGCAAGCAACAGGCATGATCATAGTTCAAGGAGATGTTTCATCCAGGCGAAAAGGAGGATGTAAATGAAGGCCGATGAGGGAGATATAGCCTGGAGGAGAAGCTGTGTGGACTGCAATTGGCCCCTGGCTTCAAATTCCCCACCAAGTTCTAATAGTCGGTTAGAAAGTTTTGCCATTTTCTAGGGTTCCCCCTCCCCAATGATTAAATGCCTCGTGTATGCAGTTGTGCCAAACTTCCTCTAAAGGAGGAGAATCCATACTCTAAATCCACTTAGTCTGGACCAACCCTTTTTTCTTTTTCTTTTGCAAATGCACTGCAGCCTCTAAACTGATGGATTAATAATGACACTAATGTGGAACTTGTGCATCAACAAGAACACTTCCTGCCATCACAATCACTCTCTGACACAATAAAACTTGTAAGATCACACCCTGGCCCCTGCACTGTCAGTCAATGAGTGGATACTAAAGTCGATGCGTTAATAATGGAGTACCCTGGGCTGCTTACAGTCGGGAGTTTTAGTTTGGGAAGAAAACAACACAAATTATTTTAGACAGCATGTCACATCACCTCTTGGTGTAATCATTGGGCCCTTCAGTCCACAAGCTACCAGGTGGAAAAAGCTGAGCTTGTTTATATTGTATGAATCCAGCCAACATATTTAGATAGTGAAGCTACATAATGAAGCCGGTTTTCAAAAGGGGAGCAGGATATACAAATTTAAAATGTTATTAGTCTATGATTAACAGACTGATGGGTATTAATTTCATACTTCCCTACATTTATTTCACTGATATACAGAAACATTTGTCACACAATCAACTATCATCCACACTTCTTCAAAGAAATGCATATTGAATTTTCAGTTATCAAGCCATACTGACAATTTTGGTGTGTGTAGCTTAAAGAAATGACACTCCTAGGAAATTAAAGGGGGCCCCACTTATATTTTTCTGTCTGCTGTTTACGCTGAGCCTCAAAGTATAAGCGCTGGTGGCCTCCACTCAGGCATGATTCTAAGGCTGAAATGCTGGTGGGAAAAATGTGGAAGGTGGCAGAGATGGAGAAAAGCCTTTACTCAAGAGCAGAATGAAAGCAGATAGACAGACAAACCAGAATAATTTAGCCAGTCAACAACAAGAAGAAGAAGATTGGCCCTTAGAGAACTGTGAACCATTTTTTCTGGCAGGACTCAAAAGCACTTAATAGACAGGTGACAAGTAGAAATTACATCACGCTGAGAATCACAATAATCGTCTTTACATCCCAACTGAGATGCGGCAAACCATCATTTTACCTCCAAACCAGACCCTGAAAGCAATTTAACTAGAAACCACAAGTTAGAATTTACAGTAACCCAAATTTGACACGATCAGACATCATGGCAAGTTACAAGGATCACAAACAGTGGATGTGGGAATGGGACCAAGAGGAG